GGAGGCGAGGAGTCAAGGAACCGATACAGTGTGATGTTTACACATCACACTGTATCGGTTCCTTGACTCCTCGCCTCCTAGTGACGATCTGCGGTATTACTGCCAGTATTGAAGGAGGAAATCAAGCAGTTGGTGGCGGTAATGCACCAAAAGTTGTTTGCCAACCGCCATAAAACACAAGAAGAAGAAGACGAAGGAGGAGGGAATCAAGCAAATCAAAATGGCGGCGCCCGTCACTTTCAGAAAGTTATGTTAACGGCCTCAGCGTCATCCCAGGTCGACCCACGCTCTTTTGAAGCCATTATTTAAAATGTGGCGTGGAGAAGATTTCAATTGTTGTTTATAGTCTTCTGTTTTGTGTTGGTTAGCAAGCAACTTCCAGAGGGGCATTCGCGCCAACTACTGGAATGGAGTGTGAATCGCGATGTGCAGCCAGACTGAGTTTAGTTTGCTTTCCATTTACACACGATAAGTTATCTCAGTTACTGAGCTCGGACCGGTCTCTGTACAGTATTTTAAGGGTAGGGTAAATGGGGTATTAGAGCCTGTGTTGCCATATGAGGCTGATGGAAGAATTTTAAATTTTTGTGGCTCGAGGCGGATTTTGTTTTTCATTTGGGAGTGTTGGCCTAGTGGTTAGAGCAGTGCACTTGTCCTCTGAGAAGGCTGCAAGTACCCGGTTCGATCCCCACAGCTCCCCAAGGGGGTGGGTTAAAATGCACAGTGAATTTCCCAACTGTGGGACATCCATCCATTTTCTGACACGCTTTATCTCCAGCTGTCAGTGGGTGAGAGGGGCGGTCCACCCTTGACAGGTCACCAGTTTCTCGCAGGGCAACACAGAGACAAACAGACAAACAACCATTGAAGCAAATTAACCTAACAGTCATGTCTTTGGACTTTGGGAGGAAGACGAAGTACCAGAATGACACAAATCGAACCCACAACCTTCTTGCTGCAAGGCAGCAGTGCTACCCACTGTGCCACTGAGCAGCCCCCTACTATGGGACAATTAAGGGATTGGTTCTTTGAACAGTCTGGGTTGCCGACCCCTGATCTAGGAGGAGCTTCAGCCGCCTGAAGCTGAAAGCCTGCTGACGTGAAAAAACTCAGCAAACAGACTGAATGGTTATTGCTTCATTAATGCAGGTTTGTGCTTTTAAAATGGTCATTTTTAAAAATGAGGGAAAAAGAAAACGCATCACATGTCCTGCTCTTTCAGAGATATTAAAGTTTTTTTTCTAGGTCATCCAGAGGTCAACTTTCCACCTATTAAGCTCTGAATTTAATCTAAATTATCTGGCCTACTTCATGTGTGCAGGAAAAATATAGTTTGGGCTGATTTGGTTTTTAAGATGACATCACCGTCCCAACAGACGTTAGTGCTGCGTTCAATATAAAGTTATTGCATAACATCACACGTCTTTATAGACTGGTAATAAATATAACAGTGGGCATGTTTACCTTATTTAGTGGCTGGAAAGATTGTTTAATATTTACTAAATCACCGCCCTCTCAGACCCGTCGCTGTGGACCGGCGTTACCCCTGGCAACCCAATAGCATTTCCTCTCAGTATTTCACAATAAAAGCACAGGTGAAACTTAAAATCATGGACTGCTGCTACTTTTTTCTCTATAACAACTTTTGAATCACCTTGAGGAGATCATAAATTTTTGGAAAAGCCACAAAAGCTGTTAAAAAAAAAAAAAAAACACTTTAGTTCATCTAGACGCAGCTCTGATTCGGTGGGATTCAGCAGGACTTCTTTGTAAATCGACGCCCACAGGAAGCACCAATGCTGGGCAGAGACGGACTGGGTCTGTGCTGGAGGTAAGTGAGGATGATTAATATTCTTTCTACATGAAGAACTAAATTAAAATGCCTTGTTTTATTATTTATCTAAAGGCCTCTGGAGAACATTCTTCATTTCTACCTTTTTAAGATTGTTTTCATTTTATTCTCTGTATTCCATTTTAATTTAAAAAAAAACTTTGCCTACAACCAGTCTGCGATCAGCTGCTGTGTCGCAATTTCAACTTGAGCGATCAACGCTCCTCTCTCTCTGTTTTCTGTCTTGTATAGGAATTCTAAACAAGTCCACTGCATTTGCTACAGCTCCCCGTTACGCTCTGAACGCAGCATAAGAGTCGGTATACGGTGTAAACATGCTGGGTTCCTGTATAACTTTCATTCTGTTTTGATTTACTTGTTGAGCCAGATAACAGCGTTCAGGTCCAGGTGGTTGGTGGGTTCATCCAGCATCAGAAGCGTGGGCTCCATGAAAAGGGCTCTGCAGACACAGGTAAGGAGAAGGTGAACATAAAGAAGGTAAACAACCTAAAAAACAGCGATGACAGGGTGTGCAGGATACCTAGCTAGAGAAACTCTCATCCTCCACCCTCCTGAGAACTTTTTAGTGGGTCTGTTCTGCATCTCAGGGGTAAACGACAAACCAGCCAGGATCCTTCTGGCCTTGGCTTCAGCTGCTGCAGCTCCGATCACTCGGAGCTCTTCATAGACCTGACAATGAGAAGAAAGGAGACGCTGTATTAAAAAAAAAAAAAACAGACCAAAGATCAGAGAAAGAGGTGTAAAGGTGCTCCTCATCCCTCTGCTCTTTAAAGCAGGGCAGACAAAGGCGAGGGCTCAAAGAAGAACACATGAGCTTTCTGAGATAGAAGAAGTCACACTGCTTCTGTTTTTTTCCCGTCCACATTCTGCAGGATGTTGCATTTAAAGTGCATCATCAGAAATAGTCCGTTTAGGGTTTTAAACTTTTCTGCGTCTGAAGAAAACATTTCCTGGAGATGCTCCACAGATTCTGTAGCCATGGCAACTACACTCCAGCAAAAACCAACGAATCAAACATTCGGATTTATACAGGCATATGCAGCATTCCAGGACAAGGCGCCTTGCTCAGGGGCACGTAGATATGAGGCAGGAAGTAGAGAAAAATTAGCCTACAACCTCAGATGGAGGTTCCAACTGAGTTCTTCTGTCTAGATCCAGTAAATGTTCTGGTTTCAATAGTCTTCCCCTGCGTCTGAGACCCATTCCCTCGCCTCCTCTGGAGGGAGAACAAGGCGTCCCGGTAACCTGGCAACCAGATTGTTAACGTGCAGCCCCCAAGTTTAGTTATTTCCTTTGTTAATCTGGATCTGCTCCCATTTCAGGGAACGGAGGGATGTTCAGCAGAACCCGAGGAGCTGATTGGGTGGAGCATCACAGAGAGCACCACCTACCTAAATTCTGTTTTAGCCAATCAAAGTAAAAGGTTGGCATAAGGAACAACAACTCCTCTCATATCTGTGATGCTCTTCCTGTTCATCCTGGGCTCTGATCCAGCAGATGTGCGTACGTCTTCCTGCGCCGCCATGTTTGCTTTGGTCTGGCTTTGGGCTCAGCGGCTCACAGATATGGTCCCCCTTAAAGCACAAACACAGCTAGCAGGCTAGGTTAGCGTTCCAGAGCCAGCTGTGAGACATTCAGCGTGTCCTGATCCTGGACCTCCTTCAAACAGGAGACGCCTCATGAAGGAGGCGTCCAGGTGTGGAGTTGGTGAGGAACGGTTTGGACTGCGTTCTGCAGTAATGAAGCAGAAGGACTCCTAAAGGCAGCAGATCTGATCCTGAACTGTGAGACATAATCGGTGGGAATAGAACAGCGTATTCACCTTCTCCAGCCTCTGAGCCACGCTGTCTTCTCCTTTCTCCAGACGGGCCTGGAGCTGCTTTTCCTCCTCCAGGAGCTTGAGCCGCCGGGTGTCGGCCTTCAGCACAGCTTGCACGGCCGGCGTGTCATCGGCTACCACCTCTAACAGAGACAGACGGAGTCAGCAGGGTTCATGGGGGGCTGCTGGAGAGGAAGATGGTTCACCTACCCTGTTCACACAGCAACACGTCAATGTTGGGAGGAATACTGAGAGCTCTGTTTGCTATGTGCTTCAGTAACGTGGTTTTTCCTTTGCTGAAAGACAGATGAGAACAGGAAGGTCAGAATGAGATACCGGCAGTGGCAAATAGAGGGCGCTAGGACGTCGCCCCACCCACCCAATGTTTTTGATTAAGACATAAAAAAACTGATAAAAATTATAAAATTAAAATATGTCGAAATATATGAATAGGTTTTTTAAATGTGCAAGAGAAATATCTAATTTTTAATGACGTGTAAATCGTGTAAACCGTCTATGCCTCTGAAAGGGGGTCGTTAGAGGGAATTGTTGGCCTGGATGAATAGCCGAGGTCTTCTGTTCTCCTGTAAAGGGTTGGGGTTGCAATGATAGAGGGAATGAATAAATTCTATCGCTGGATTGTAGGTTTTTAAAAGCAGAAATCTGAGTCCATCCGCTCTGTTTGGGGGTTTATGGGGCATTGCAGGTTAACAAAGAATCCAAACGACCCCCATTCCAAAGGGGTGGACCCGTTCGTCCGTTTCAATTTGCACGTTTTCTAAACAAAAACAAGGCTTTGTTGGGCTCCTGTATAAAGCCATTTTGAAATAAAAAAGCTTCCTGGTTAGAAGAGAAACGTCTTTAAACTTGGAAACAAAGTCCAGTGGATTGTTTTTTTTTGTGCTTTTTTTGAAAATCCAGTCAAAAGATTAGGCCTGGGTATTTTGGCCAAAGTCCTGAATCGATTAATTTTGATTCGATCTATTTTTACAGTAATGAAAGTGGTTCAACTGTTTCAAAATACTCATGTGTTTTGTTTTTTTCCTGTCACATTAAACACAAAGTGCAAACTTGTTAATCAGACAGTTTAAACTTGAGATGTGAACAAAACTGTCTTAAAAAAGCAAACTTGTTTGTGAAAAGTGAAAAAGTGAATCCTCACTTGAGCAAACAGGCGTGACACAGCAGACATGCATGAGCTGCATTATCTCCGCTGCACAAACCAAATGTGCAGCGTTGTCTGTAACTACAGGGTGTTTGCTGCTCAGCCCCCATTTGTTAATGTCTTCAGTCACCTATTGGCTATATTTGCTGCTGTCTGGCTTGAAGGCATCTTGAGTGCATCTTTCCTGCTCGTTTGAACGTGAACGTCACGCGGGTCACTATAAAACTAATCGATCTCATTCCCTAGACATTGATTTTGCAAAAATGTAAAGGAATCGATTCAAAATCGATCGTTTTTTTTACCCAGCCCTAGTAAACATGTTGATAGCACCCCACCTATGTGAGGAGGTCTCAGTGAAAATAGTAGAGCTTCTACCATCGAAAGTTCCTTGGTAACCAGGCCTCATTTTAATCAACGCCTCATTGGGAGAAAAAGTTCTCCTGTATCTCTGTATTGTTCCTTCTCTCACTGCTGTACACTGGATTCATGGTGGAAATAATTATTCTGCTGCTAAACCACGACTCGCTGATGTTTGGAGCGCAAATCTAAACACAGCACAGAAGAAAAGGCTTTAAATATTTTTACAGCGAGTTAAAGGTTAAAACTTGACTGTAGCCAAAGAAAGAACTAAAACCAGCTAATGTTAAAATGTAGGAGGCTTTTAATGCCTAAATTAATAAATCTAAATGTTAAGACCAACAGCAGCTTTATCCATGAACATTAATAGCAGCTTTTCTCATAGAGATCAATAAACACAAAACTAATAAAATGACTTTTCTAAAAGCAGGTTTTCAGCTTAACATCATAAAGAAGGAATTTACCCATTTGGTCCGACTAAACCATATCTTCTTCCTGCCACAATCAGAAGGTCGGCGTTAACGAACAGCTCCTTGCCATGAGCAGATATGCTGAACTTCTCCAGCTGAAAGACAAACAGCAAAGCTTCAACAAACATCCCACAGCTAAGAATGAAAACGACAAGAAACCAGAAAAAAAAACGCTTCTTCTGCTAATTTCAGCTGTTTTACTAACGATGAAAAAGAAAAGGAGTGAACCTGTTCTTTGTGGAGAGAAGGTTCTTTAAGGAACCTTTGGCTATTTGATTATAAATTGATTAATCAGAACAATAATCAACAGATTAAATTATTTGTAAAGTAATCGTTAGTTGCAGCCGTGGTTTCAAGCAAAAAGATAATTTGTAAATTAAAAAATCCAGTAAAGGTTTTGATTGCAGCTTTACTGTTTTCTGAGATTTTTTTTTCCACATTTTATTTTTTAGAATAGTTAATTTTTCAAAACTTAAATTTTTTTCCCCAGAAAAATTTGAATATGGGAGGCCAGGCAATAACCAAAGTACACTGAGGGGGGGCCGAAAGCAGATAGGCACCAGAAACTCACAATTTCCACCGTTCCAAAATGAACAACCACGACATCCATATTTTCTAAATAAAAACTAACTATACTTTCCTCCAGCCTTTGCTAACAAATAGACCCATATTTTAGCATCCATCCTGTTAAATTAAAAGTCTAGGCTTGACTTCTCTGGCAAACATCTTATTCGTTGTCTTACCTACTTTTATCAATGATCATTCTGCATAAAATTTATATTTACATGTACTACTATTTAAATTAAACGGATTAAGTATTATTAAAGCAGTTATTTATCTCTGCAGGTCATCTATGAATCTTCATCATTTTCTCTTTACCCCATAAGACAAAATCTAGTTAAAAAAAAAGAGCATGAATTCAGTATCTAACATCTTTAATGTTAATATATTCATGTGCATAATTAACCACAGTGTTTTTGTTGTCAAGTAACTGTTAAAATATGAAAAATAAAATATCAAACTTGAGAGTATTACTGCTGCCACCGTCTGTATTAGAGGGAAAAACTGGTAGGGGTGGCCAATGATTGGCTAAGGGTGGCCATGGCCACCCCTGGCCCCCACATCTAGCTCCGCCCCTGCCAATTTTAAAAATATTTTTATTAAAATGTATCTTTTTTGTGGACCGAGTCAAAAACCTGCTTCTAACCAATAATGTTGTCGCTGGCATCCAGCAGACCAACAGAAATGCCTCTTCACTCGTTACCACAGAGCAAAGCGGTTTTAAAGGATGCAATTAGTTAAAATAAATCTGATAATAGAAATAAAAAAATAACAATTTATTAATTAAAAATAAATATGTTTATAAATACATATAAGCTGAGAAAAAATAGTTTTAGTTCCTCTTTAAACTTTAAGGTCTCTCAAAGTTGCTCGTTTTCTACATTTCTACAATGTGTTCTTTGCAACAATAATGGAGCAAACTTCTCTCCGTAGATCCTGAGGTGAAGGCGTTACCTTAATATCCGAGGCGTTCTCTAGCATTGCCTGTCTGGAGGACATCTCCGCCTGAGATACGGAGAAATCTCCTTCCAGGGCGTTCTGAGCTCGGACGCTTTCCACCTGCCGCTGATATTCCATCTGTAAAAGGAAACAGCAGAACATCGGTTAAGAAAAGAAATACTAAACAGTTTTTAGTTGATCTAAATCATGTCAGGGATCATCTGGAATCAGAAGTAGGACCCCTAAGATGTCTCTAGTTTCTGCAGGTGTCGCCGTCTCACATTTAAAGAGCATGAAAATTTAACTTACAGAAATAAAGCCTTAAAGTAATAATAGTACTTTAATAGCAG